CTTATTTATCCCCAGAGTCTGCCCCTTTTCTCCCTCCTGTTAAGACTGCTGGGAAGGCCCAGTGTCATACAGATTCAGTGTAGATAAGGCCCCCTTACAAGTTTTGTGGTGGGAGCTGAAGCCATTTAGTTTGGGGAATACCAGAATATTTCTATGGATTCCTTTTGTGAAAGGGGCATCTTAGACAAGATGATGCCACTTGACTGCGTTTCATTATATAGTAAGTGAGAGGGGTCGGTGAAGACATTCCCCTGTTAGGTGGTGGCAGGGAGCTCGTGGCCCCACTGGAGAGGGAATAGAAGACATGATCGGAGTTTGCTCCTGTTCTGTATAAGGATTTGGTAATTGAATTTAGAACTACTCCATTTTAGCCCCCAGTCCAGCATGTTCGTGTCAGGTGGAAGGGTTGCATACCGTGGCCCCTCCTCATTCTTGCCTCTGCTCCACTGAATGTCACTGACTCTTGAGTGCCTTGCTGTCTGAACATTTTGCACATTGAAATTGTATAGATCCAAAGCTTTCCTTTAAGGTTATTTGAATTGACTCTGCTAGACAGTGTAGTTCTTATAATAAGTCTTTAGGGAACCATTTTTCTGATAGTAAACTTGGGTGGATTTTCAGTATCTATTTTAAAAGTGTAATAATATCATCATTAACTTTTTAACTTTTTAGAAGGACCCAAAATCTCAATCTCTTCACAAACTTCTCTTCTTAAGTGGGAATGTGTACTTTCAGTAACCTTCCCTGTTCCTCCTTTTATAGAGCTTTTTTCGTTTCCATTCAGTTGTTGATTAACTGTCCGTCTCTGAGAGTGCTCTAGTAGCAGTAATGCTCTGGAGTGGAGCTAAGCCCAGGCCAGGAGAAGATAAGACAACTGATGGAGGCTTCCGTAGGGGCTCTCCTTCCTTTATCTCCTTCTTCTCTTCCTTAACCAAATACTCATTGAGTGCTTATGATGTGCCATTCACTATGCCAAATGCTGGGACATCAGAGATGCACAAACTCAGCATAGCATGTTCTCCTAGACTTTACTCATGGTCCCTTGGAGGGGAGACAGATCCATTAGTCAAATATAAAATTGTGACTGTGCCAAGAGTGTAGAGATATATCGTGGCGTAAATATTGTTGGGGGATTTTTTGTAGTAGTCAGAATGGTTCGTTGAGGTAGCACTGCTTGAGGTAAGGTCTGAAGTTTGAGCAGGAGTTCACTTGAAGACTGTAGGAAAGCACATTTTAGGAGGTGAACAAAAAGCAGGAGTAAGTGCTCTGGTGAGAAGAATGTGGCAAGTAGAAAGATTTGAAGAAGGCTGGTTGTTGTGTAGATTTTCAGGGTGCCTATAGTGAAGTTTCTTCCCGGAGTTAGATGCAGCCTGCCTGCTTGTAAACACCTGTGCGCAGACCTCGTGTGCCTTTCAGCGTGCGTACTTGTGGAGTCATTGTGCCTATCTAAATTGGGCCCTAGATATGTTTTACTGGGCATCCATTACAATTTAAAACATTTAAAAATAAAGAGTATGTCCCATAAACAGTCTGGATTTCCCTTCTTTGGAGAAACTATCTGGCAAGGCTGAGTGCGCAGTCTGGCTTAGCAGCAGCCACACTCGCGTGGGCAGTACCTGCCTCCTTCAGATAGGCGCTCTCTGTAGGTCGCCACAGCCTCTGCTGTTGCCTCCCGCACTTCCTTATGCTGCCTTCTTAGACACTTGGCCTTTCTGCTTGTTAAAGAGAAGTTAAACAGTTGGAAACGCTACGGATTTAAGGCTTCGAGGTCAGTTCTGGCTTTGAATCTCAGCTCTTCCATTCATTCTGCAGCTAACAAAGCTGAGAAGGGCCTTTCTCTGTCAGTGCTCTCGTTCTCCCTTAGTGATAAAGATGATGTTCTTATTTTAATTTTTCTGTCAGTACTCTTATTCCTTATAGTAAAGATGATTTTCTCATCTGAAAAAAATTTATAATAACTTCTTTTGGGATTTGTTTTGTTGTTCAAATGTGAACAGG